CATTTGACGCATGGTTTTATGTTTTGTTCATCTATGTAAAGTCTTCAAGTTAAAAAAAAAGTATACGCTTGTTTGCTTCTGCCACATGTCGCCATTTAACTTGATCTTTATTCAAAACAAAGCGACACGCTGCAGCACACATGCAAATTGTCAATAGCAGATGTAAACCATCTTCCAGCAGAGCACATAATGCAGGCTTGTTCTGAACGAGCACTGATGTCAGTGATTGGATGGAGTTCAGTGTCACATGCTGTTTATTAAGAGGCAGATGTAACAATCGGCTATGTCTAACTTTTGTATTGACGCTGATTGAAAAGTCATATCTGTTGACTGTTTGTTGTCATATTAGCAGCAAAATGTAATAGGACTACACATATGGATGTTTTTTTAATGTTCCCATTTTGTTTGTTTGTGAAGGTCAGTATGTAAGAAACATGAGCTGATCCAGTATGAGTTGGAGATGGCAGCTCAGGAACTCGTCTCTAAGAAACAGCAGAGAGAAGAGCTGGCTACCGGGGTAAAGCACTCGCACTCACACACCCGCTTATTATCTCTCACTTTCTCTCGCCCATTCTGGGCACATACACGTATGTGGTACGTGTCACCGTGTCAAGTCAGTTGTCAAATTTCCGGATGATTGCACACAAATGATTTTGAATTTTGAACAGAATTAGGCAAGCGTTTAAAACACTTCTGTGGTCTGACTTGATGAAAACATCGGTAAATTAATACTATACGATACGATACGATATAGTCCCCGTAAGGACATTTGTTCTGGACTCACAATACACAGACGCACATACTGACAATGGTGCCCTATTGCACAGCCCTCATGGCCAAGAAGCTTAATGGACATAGGCAGGAATGAGTGCTTCTAGCGGTTCAGCCTAATATGTGTGTGTTTCTGTGTTTGGGCAGACAGTACGTGTGTTTTCCCTGAAGGGCATGACCAGTAAACTGTTTGGCACAGAGAGCCAGGAGCAGAGGGAGAGCAGGCTGGCTGCTCTGGAGCAGAGCATCCAGGAGGGGGAGGAAATGCTCAAGGAGAAGAACACAGAGTGCAAGTAAGCTCCACACTAATGTACCAATCTTCCACCTTTTCTAAATGATATGTATTCACCCACTCTTATTCTGCTCCTCTCACTATTTCCCTCCCTCTGAAAACACAGTATATCTTCTCGTTTTTAGTTACGTGATTTGCCCTTATTTCTATAATAACTGTTTCATGCCTCAGACAGAAAACTATACATTGGAAGAGTTCCTAAGAAGAGACAATATTATCGATAACAAGAAAACAAACGTATACATTTTCAGACCGCACATCGATGGTTAGAGCTACTCCCTTATAGTCTGAATTTGTTCTCAGGTAGACCAGGGTCAAGACACCAGCAATAATTGTGTATGAGTAATAACACATTAGTAATTTTGAGAACAAAAAGACAACCACATTGTTTTTCCCCTATGCCATGCCTTCTATTCTCCCTTCCACCAGCTCGTTCACAGTGGTTCCTTTGTGTTTGTGTCTTCAGAGAGTTTGTTCAAATGGCCTGGGAAGACATTGAACGTTTTAAGGAGCAGAAGGACAAAGACCTGCGTGAAGCACTAATCAGCTATGCCATTATGCAGATCAGCACGTGTAAAAAGGTATGGGATTCTTTTCTATAATGTCTTTTTTCTTGTATAATTGCCTACTTAAAAATGCCAGGCATCTTGTGATGTTGATTTCTCAGCAGTAAAGCTCCCAATCTGTTTTTCTAATTAAAAAAACTGTCGTGTTTTTGCTTTCTTTCTCTCATCTGTTCTCTCTCAATGCACCACTTTCTCAGGGAATCCAGGTGTGGTCCAACGCCAAGGACTGTTTCAACAAAATGTGAGCCGCTTTCCAGCCATTCACTCTCTTGAAACAAAACAATAGTCAATCACATTTTCCAGAGTGGGACCAGCAACCAATCCTTAAACTGCCTTCAATGGAGATGGAACACAGGAGCCTTAATACTGCCCTCACTTTGTTAGCTACGCTGAATGATTCTGTTTCTTTGTCACTCTCTTTCCGGCTCACACACGTGCACACACACATTTATTTAGAGACAGTTTCCATGTCAGTCCCAGCTGTCCTAACAGCCTCATTCTCCTGGCATTCTGCTGATGTGGTTTTCAGACTCCACACGATCCAAGTTTTCAATACTTTTTTCCTCTTTTTTGAAAAACTCACATCATGAACAAGAGGAAACTCCTGCACTAATAATAATGCATGATGATTGCACATTGGGAATGGCTGTGCAATGAATTTGGGTTGTTACAATTATCTGTCATCCTTAAAATATGGAAAATGTAAAAGATCATGCTCTGTTATGATGATGTTTTAAAAGGAGGTAAAGAGTGAAAAATACAGCACCAAGCTTGTTTGAATTAAAAATCTAAAGGATATCATTTTTATGTTGATGATTAGAATGGCATTTAAATGTTCTTTCAGCAAGAGCATCTATAACCTATCTCCCTGGGCCTTCCTTAATGCAGCAGAGCTATGCATTGAGATAAAAGGACAGACATTCAGGTATCAATGTTAGAATTGTTGCCAGGAATAATGTTTTTCAAAATACTTCTACCACGACTTCTTCTCAGCCTCGAAAGAAGGTGTAATCCTTTGAAGTTCATAATAATCTCAATGGCAGATAAATCAGAAACAGGAAGTCAAAATTGTGAGAAAAGGGGACAATAACCACACTTAAGGAAGTTATTACACATTAACTTCCTTTTTCTTCTTCCTTTCCATTTCAGTCTTTATGCTGTTTTTGAACGATAGCCCACCAAAGTGCTTATGACCAAGAGCTAGTCTGTATATTACAGATCACGGGTGGGGAGCACAGGAGAGGTGTTGACAAGCTTTGGGCACTTTTTGTTATATTGTTTTTGTTTCTTTTATGTGCCAAACGCAAATGACCAATAATAACATGCAGTCATGAAGGCCTCACTTAGGTTTTAGTTACTGTGGATGTTTTCTTTGAGGACTGAGACATGGCACTGCTACGAACTAACCAATCTGCAAACAATAGTGTTGTGAAACGCAACCGGTGCTGAAAATTGAATAATTGTGCCTTTTTCTTTGCTGTCAAGCTTTATTGCCTTAAAATGAACATGGGTTTTGTACAACAGGGGAGAGACAAAATGTGCCTCGCCCCTTTTTCTGATGTCAAGGTACTGCTCTGAATACTAGACATGGGGTTTGATGCGCATGCCTCAGGTCAATGGTTCGGAAAAATACTGACCAAATATTGGAAACCTTTAACTACAAATACATCAGTAACTCAAATTCTCGCTAAATACATATGCTATAAACAATACATGTGCTACTTTCAATATCTATCTAAGGACAGATACGTGCAAAAGCTGTGCAGAGATTTGTTCTCTTTGCTATCCCTGCTCTTTCTTAACAAATCATCAGAAATACTCTAATTTCCCAAATCAAGGCTTTTTGAATTTTTTTTGTATTAACTTGTTCAATAAGAGATTGTTTTAATGTTGATGTAATCATTGTGCTAAGACACTAATAAACACATTTCTTTTTTAAAAACAATTTTCATTCCATTTGTATTACATGTGAAAATGAGCTGGGTAGGACCAAATGTGCTGTTGCTGGTTTCACACTATGTACAGACGACATAGTCATAGCCAGGTTGCTTGATGACTTCCCATGGGGCGTTTTGTTTGTCTTTGTGGATTACAAGAAAATAAACTGTTGCTAAATGAGTGTGTTCTAAAGGGCAAACTGTTCTAATTAATCTGTTTCGAAATAAAACAGCCTCACCCCTATGCAAAGCTTGCCTTTGTTTCCATGACACCTGTGGTAATGGTGTATGATTTAGATGGGCTTAACTGTGTGTTTACACTAATGTGATGGCGGTGTGTTGATACCTGTCTACCAACGTGCAAGAGATATCAAATCACACAGGAATAGTTTTTTTAGTTTACTAAAACAGTGAGAATATCAAGCAAAGCAATGCATCAACTACATGCATAATTCCTATGAATAAGGTTAAAGTTAGGTAGTAGGAAATACATTTGAGGTGAATAAGTTACTCATTTGATATGAGACCTTTGATTTGCTGTCTAATTTTAAGACATTAAACTTTTGTTTGTTGTTGTTACACTTTAATGATTAAAGTGTAACAAAAAAAAGGCTTTTATTTAATTAAACTTAGTTCAATGTGTTTAATAATATTACGTGGTAGATGCCTTCCCTACCATTTATGATACAATAAAAAAAGACGGCAGTGATTCAAAGATAATTGTACATGAATATATGAACGCCCCTCGTCAAAGTCGTGATGTTGAGCGCCTCACATGCTTTAATGAAGGCGTGGACTGTAATATACATAATGAATGGCGCCCCCTGCCGATATATTCTAGTGAAAGCAGTTTAATTTTTAAGTGGTAATGAAAAGGAGAGGAGCCCGAGGAAAAGAATATGATCTTTTCAGATCCACATTCTGTCTGGTTTGTATGAGGTCATGGGGTTTTTACTCAAATAGAAACCTAACATTAATTATACATTAGAACAGACGACAGCCTACCAAATCCAGTAATTCCGTGTACTTTTCAGAAACCTGACATGTTAATAAATCCGAGTAAACTATAAGGTTGTAAGAAAGTAATTAACTACAATAATCATTGTAGGCTATTCCATTTTGAAGCCACGAAAAAAATGCTTAATTTCACCGAGGAACAGCCACTGTGGCTTAGTATCCGAATAGACGATGAATGGCTTGATTGAAAGAATGCTTGATTCTGAGTTTGTGCCAATTGCATGTTGTGTTTAACCAGGCGGTATCGATAAAGAAGATACCTTGTTGGCAACAGTCATTCTAGCAACAGGATGGCAACGGCAAAAACATGTGTGTGATGGTATGGTGTGATGCCATGACAGCCCGTACACAGCCCTCCTGCCTCCCTGCCTGTACGTATTTTGGAGAAGAGACACGCCCACCTTAATAAAGACTGGACCTTTCTCTTCCAATCCAGACAAAAGGAGAGGACGACAGATCCGCGGAGGCGCGCACTGAGCAGAGCAATTGAGCACCTTGGAAACGCAACGGGTTTGATCCGACGCGCAAGAACGCACCGGCACGCCGACACGCACGCCCTCCAGATCTACCTGAAACATCTGAGCCGGTACATTGTCCTGTTTGAAGGCAGAGGAAAGAGAATCTAAACCCCGTTTCAATCGCAGCCAGAACACCGTGTTCTCATGATGTCATACCTGTGGATTCTGCTATTAGGAAGCCTGCTGGCTACAAGCGCCAAGGCACAAGGTAATGATTACATTTCCAATTAATTCAGCCCAGCCTTAAGCTACATGCTCTTATTCGCACACACACCTATCTATCTATCTATCTATCTATCTATCTATCTATCTATCTATCTATCTATCTATCTATCTATCTATCTATCTATCTATCTATCTATCTATCTATCTTTCAGTGGGTTGTCATCTCCATTAGAATGTGTATGTGTTTGTCTGAGGGCAATCGCCAGTGTCTTTTGCCAGTCTGTCTGCCTCCCCGTCTGCATGCCAATTCAATTCACCTTTAGCTATAATCTGCTTGTTTCAATCTGTTCTGGCTGAATGAATGGAGGCAGCTCTGCCTTCTTCTGTTCTCCGTTTTTCACGGCTCTGCAGGCCAGGCATTAACAGTGAAATAGGTGTGTCATTTAATTTGGCCATATCTTTCTGGACATGAGTTTGGCCCAAAGGGGTGTGGTGGGCCCATTGTCCTTATATAGGGAATTCCCCCCTCTTTTAATTGTTTCATCCATTTTTCCAGCTCTTTTTATTCCCCTTTATTGAATCACTGATGCTTTGTGAGTCTCATTTTTTCTTCATATCTTCGTTTTCCATACTTTGATCTGTTCTTCCTCTTTCTTCTTCCTCATCTGACTCATGGGCCCCTGCCCTTCCCCGCGGCGCATGCAATGATTTCAGATTTCTCAAGAGCAATAACACTCAGAGGGAGGGAGATAAAGGAAGCATTGAGAAAAGCAGAGACACTTGGAGAGATGGAGGGAGAGATAGGAAGATGTTGGAAGAAGATAACAACTAAAATGTTGGAACTGATTAAGAGGGAAAAACAGCAGATATACAATCAAGAATAGAGTGAGAGAGCTATTCATTGATACAGTGAGATTCATCACCATTATGCAAACAACATTTCAGTTGGCGAACTACAATGACACCTGGTGTATTCTCACTCTACCGGTTCCTTTTCTATGAGTGCAAACCACAAATGTGAACCACACACACACACACACACACACACACACACACACACACACACACACACACACACACACACACACACACACACACACACACAAACTTACACACTTTTTCTCAACTTGCCGAACTGTAACTGTAAAACTGTAAAACCCAATGTGCTGCTGTACTTTGACACAGAAAAATCTCCACGGGTGTATTTGCTTGCTTGCATGTAAGGAGTTCATAGTTACACGGGGAAAAAAAGATGGGTCCTTGGGTCAGCGCACACATCATGCACAATGTGTGTAAGCTATAGAAGTGAAGTGTAGGGAGTTTCTCGTAACTAGATCCAGCTCCAGCTGTAGACAACACCCAACAACTCAACTAGTTTCAGTGCCTTACACTCCCCCAGGGCCCTTAGCATCTGTGTGAGAGAGTGTGTGTGTGTGGGTGTGGGGAATTACTTAAATATACAGAACGTATGGGAGTGATCATTAATATGAGTTTCTGTATGAGTCAGTTATAGAGTGTGTGTGTCTTTTAGAGGCAGATGAAAGAATTGTGATGTGTGCCAGGTGTGTGTGTGTGTGTACTGTGTGCAGACTTGTCCTTGTTTACACCATCAACTACCATCACATAAATCTCTCTTATGGTGGATAAGTGAAATCTAGTCACACATGCACAGACACACTCTCACTCTCTCTGCTCCCATGGGGGCTGTTTTAAGGTGTGCATGATTGGGGTAAACACGGAACTTTCTGTCCTACAAACACACAATAGAGCCATATCTGACAGAACAATGCACTGTGGAGGTGCTGTTGTATCACCTGACACACATGCACACACAGTTTCTGGTGTACTATTACGAGACAAGGATTGGTTATTGGTGTCTGTACACGCTAGAGTACCGTTCAACCACACTCAGGCGATCTCACACGATCTCACGGCAGGAAACCGAAAGTGTCGTAAGGTGCTCTTCCTTTGTCATTCATAACTGGCCTCAGCATTTCATTTGAAAAAGATGAACGTCTTTGTTTAGTAGTTTGCAAAACAAAAGGTGACATGAAAAAATAATTTTACTTTTTAATGATCAGGCGTACTCAGAAATGCTATCAAGTGCAAAGTTAAACAGTTTTATTATGTGTCACCCTTTGGCATCAATCATTATTACAGCAGTACAGCTCCCATGATGCCTGTGAATCATTATATAGGCTAACAATTTAAGTTCAATGTATTATCTTTTCAATTTACACACGGCATCTATTGCACGTCTGTCCGTCCTGGGAGAGGGATCCCTCCTCTGTTGCTCTCCCTGAGGTTTCTCCCATTTTTCCCTTTAAACTGTGGGTTTTCTCCGGAAGTTTTTCCTTGTACGATGTGAGGGTCTAAGGACGGAGGGTGTCGTATTGTCATACTGATATTCTGTACAAACTGTGACAAATGTAACATTTGTGATATTGGGCTATATAAATAAACATTGATTGATTGATTGAAGTGTCGTCTCCAAGCTGTATTGGCTGTTGTCATAGTAGCTCGTTAACATGATGTTACGTGCTAAAAGTGCTCACTTGTTTTCTATCAATTTTAGTTTTATTCTGTGACATATATCCCTTAAACCCTGTTTTAACTTGTCTGCAGGAACAGCTTTGGCACAAGTTGGTTCCCAGATTAAGTAACCCCAAGTGATGTCAAAGTCCTGCTTGCTGGAGCATAAAGAACGAAATGGAAAGTTGTCTGCATTATAAGGGTTGTTTCAGCAAAAAAGACAGTTACAGATTAAGCTTGAGATGTGCAGCATATTCAATACAGGAGGTAGTGTAATGCTTAGCTTTTAAAACGTTGCTTAGTACAAAGACTGGAGACGGATGGAAACAGCAAGCCTGACTCAGTCCAAAGGTTATATAATACACTCACTTACAGGCACCTCTTAAGCTTGTGAGTTATATCTCATTTGTTTATTTTGCACACGAAAAACAGGCAAGTTGGAGTTTTAAGGGGGTTAATGTGCTGGACTATTTCCTGGCTAGGAGCATAGACTGTATAGGCGGGGACCAGTAACTCACAGTAACGACAGTGAGTTGTGCCCGGCCAAGACATAGTCAGGCACCCTGAAACGTTCTGTAAAATGTTAATGTACAGAGCTAAGCTACTTGTATCCTCCTGTTTTCAGTGTTAATGATAATGTTCAGTTCTGATTAACAATGTCGGAGAAGTTAAAGTTGAATATTTAGTTTAAGATTGTATATACGGTAAAATCGTAACATGGCATAAGTGTCTTTCCTGTTTTTAAAGTGATGTCATTTGAAGAACTTACCAGAATGTTCTAGCTCTTTCCCGCCCAGCCCTGACAGGTATAGGTATACCTGATAAAGTGGCCATGGAGGGTATTTGTCAATCTATCAACAACTTGTAGGCCAGTTTTCCTAAAGAACAGTATGTAACCGACAGTATCGTGTTTTCCCACATGCATAAACTGGTTTGTCTTAAGAGTCTGTCTTTGGGGACCTTTTCTTAGAGTTTAACTCTGCACATGCTGTTCAGTCTCATACAATTGCGTGCAGCCATGTCAGAGACACACAGATGACTCATCAGCCCCTGGGGAAAGCAGTGGCAAAGAAACAAAGGGAGTTAAGAGTTTGGGAGAGGGAAAGAGAGAGGAAAGGGGGGGAGACAGTCTTTAAAGCAAAAAGGAAGGCTGAGAGGGTTTGGATGTGCAACAATTTGTTTCACTGCTGCACTAACACAAAACAGGACAGCGCTTACTCAAGGGTGAGGGTGAATGTTAACTTGACTTTTGTGTGTGTGAACATATGGTTGTTTGTATGTTTGGACTCAAAGGGGGAGGAGAAGGGTTTTTTATGGGTTTCTACACACACAAACACACATGTGTGCGTGTGCGCATGCCTGTTGTTGGGTGGGGGGATGTAAGGGGGTGTGTTTGAAGCGGAGGTAGTTAGAGGAGGAAGTGGCAAACTGATAGATGGGAACAGAATGTTCTATGGAGTGGCAAGAGAAAGAGTTTGTATGGGGGGCAGTTTCTCTCACACACATACCCACATCACATGTTACATGAGAGCCACATACCTCACACACACATGCCTGTCGGCACAATGCCATTGAAAAATGTGCCCACTCATTTTCACATTTACTGTAGGTGAAAACATATATACTCCCAATCATTAAACACACAACAGTGATCCCGGTCTGAGGAAATAACAATTCAATATCAGCAGAAAGTTAACCTGCATGTTTGAACTTTTCTCAGATAAAAAAAAAAGGCACGACATCTGGCGTCTAAACTAGTTCAACAAGCTGAATGTTTTGCTACGGTACATCTTTGATAACACCTGTTTGATTGAGATATCAAAGAAAGTCATGAAGATAAAAACCTGAACTCCACCACAAACACATTTACTCACACATTCAGTCCTGTTTCTTCAGTTTGTGATAGGGCTGCTCAATTCATCGTATTGTAATTGCAATTACGATTTTGGCTTGCAACGATTATGAAAACAACATAATCGAAATAAAACGATTGTTTATTTATTTATTTTGTATTGGTTTGTCAGTTGAATTATACTTAAAGTTCAGGGTAATCAACTGTTAAAAACATACTGTTCACATTTTGTATTCAATAAATGGATGTTTTCAAAGTAAATGGAGAATCGTTTTTAATAATCGTGATTTCAATTATTGACCCAAATAATCGAGATTATGATTTTTCCATAATCGAGCGGACCTAGTTTGTGATGCTGTCAGGTTCTTAATAAACCATGAATGGCACTAAGTATTGATTACCACTGATACAAAGCTCATACTGTGACATTAACCAAAGGAATGAAGGGAAAAACAAATAGAGCTTGTTTTTATTAGTGATCATGCATCTGTGCAAGTCACCCCTTCATGTTTCTGTGCATAAGTGCATATGGTGTGTGTTTAGCCATGCTAGTGTCTGTATGGATTTGGGTGTGTGTGTGGAAGAAGCAAGGGTGTCCTCAACATTGCACCTGCCTCCAGAGGTTTAATGGTGCGATGGAAATACTTCAGATGTGTTCCTGCCGCCCTCCCTCAGGGCGTTTCTGAGATAGAATCTCATTTGGCAAAGGCAGCGATCCTACATTGGAAATTCACATGACAATAAGCAACTGGCTTCAAAAGTGATTACGAATGATGTGAAGTGAACATTTTATGGAAGATAGTTGTGATACACAGCAGAAAACCCCTGAAGATTCTGATTTCTCTTTGTTACGTCTTTATGTTTCAATTTCTAGGTGTTTTAGTTGGGTTTTGGTCCAAATTCTTGTACATATCTTTCCACTTTTTCAAACCAGTTTTTCCAGCAGAAAGCAAAACATCACCCATACCATTATTTCTAGATGGTATATACCTGTTAAAGGTTGGTACTATCCCGAAGAACCAGCATCAGGGTGTTGCTGAAATCAGCTCAACTTAGAGCACAGTTTCGCTGTTTCAGCTTCTCACATCCAACAGGGGAATCTCACAGCACTGCCTCAAACACACACAAACGCCATGCTCATCTCACACACAGAATGACAAAGACATGTGCTTTGCATTTTCTCATTAGTACAGAGCTGCAATGCCAGTGCAGAGGTTGAGTCTCCATATGATGTTGAGGCAGGTGAGACGTGATCGATGCGTCTGTCATCCATTTGTGGCTGGAGAGTTCACATCAGGAACAAATCAGAACAGGGTGTGGCTCTTTGTGTGTGTGTGTGTGTGTGTGTGTATCACTGCCAGTCTTTTGTTCTATTAATAATAATAATAATAATGCATTACACTTTTTATTAGAGTGCTTTTACAGGTGCTCAAAGCGCTTTACAAGTACACATTACACATATTAGACATATAAGAGTCATTACTGCGGACATTACCCACAGGAGCAAATGCGGGTAAAGTGTCTTGCCCAAGGACACAATGGCCTGACGCAGTGGCGGCCGAGGCGGGATTCAAACTGGAGTTCACCAACGCCCCTTGATCTGATGACCAACGCTCTAACTGCGCCAAAACCGCCCTGTTCTATCTATTGGTTCTATTTTAGGTCAGACTTGTAAAAGTGTGGCTTATTTGTTTGTGAACAGGCAAGGGCACAACATATTGGTCAATTCAGTCAATTATAGGGGTTGTAGTGCCAGGTTGCAAGCCTTCAAAGGCAGAAGAAACTCTGTATGAGTCATTGAGACATATTGTCATATTTTAGCCTGCCATGTCTGCCTCTTTTCTTCTTGAGAGAAAGAAAATTATAGTTCCTCAGGCTTCTGTCAGTGGTGTGATGTATGCTTATTGTATGTGTTGAAGCAGCCCGGACAGCCCTTTTGTTTTGTTTTTCTGCCCTTTTTTAAATTGATATGTACCAGTAGTCAGCCTTTGACTGGATATGTGTTTCCTTCTTAATTATTCTTCTACATTTTGTGTAGATGATGCAGCTCCTGAAGCAGCCGCAGCTCCTGAACCAGAAGCAGCCACAGATGCAGCTCCTGAAGCAGCCGCAGCTCCTGAACCAGAAGCAGCCGCAGCTCCTGAACCAGAAGCAGCCGCAGCTCCTGAACCAGAAGTAGCCACAGAGGCAGCTCCTGATGCAGATGCAGCTCCTGAATCAGCTCCAGAAGCAGCCGCGGAGGAAACTGACAAAGCAGCCGACGTAAAGAACATTTTTGTTTCTGTTGATTTGTTTTCTTTGGATGATCAATCTGTGTTTATCTCGCTAGAGTTCTCCCGGTGATCAACAACCTCCAAAGAACCCAATATGGTCAAAAATTAAATAACACTTACTCTTAAAACAGAAACATATAAAAGTTACATAATTGCAGGTCCAGATGATGTATGGGAGACACATATAAAAGGGGGTATAGTTCACAAAGGTTATTTTTTATAATGTTACTTTGATGATTGCAAACTTTCTTCATCACTTCAAACTCTTATCTTGTCTGGTAAATAGCACACAGGAAAATGTTTGGGTTTTCTGAAAACAGCATTACTGACTAAATATATACAAATGTACAAAAAAGTGATCTGAGCTGTGCCGTGTTTCTGGATAACAGTGCCTCTTTGCAACCTGCATTTAGTACATTGAGGTCTAGAGAATATATCGTTCTTAATCTTCTTCAGGCAGATATTTGAGAAGCTGAGTCCTATCAAATGGCTGAATGTTGTTCATGTACATTCAAGGTGGGCATTGAAAGTGTTATGAAACATAACGTCAATGGCAGCCCTTTTCAGACTGTGTTTTGTGTTTCAGCAAAGCTCCAGTTTGCATATCAGTTGTGCTGCTTGGTTAAAAAAACTGATATGGTGAAGCACTAACAAATATGCTCTAATCTTAAAACCAAATCACCTGAGGGCCTTTTATGTTTACATTTTTTTTTTCTTTTATGTAAATGTATTTGTTAAATATGTATAACTCGTGTTTAATATAGGAAACAGAAGCCAAGCCTGAGCCTGCTGCTGAACCTGAACCTGAAGCCGATGATACTGTGGTTCCTGAGGCTGGTGAAGCAGAACCAGCGTTCGCTGCTCCAGCCGACACAGAGACGGAAGCCGCTGCAGCAACACCAGGTGATCCACTGGTGTTCAAATATGCACTCGTAAAAAAGGAAATGTTTTTTTTCTGATGATTAATCTGACGCAAAAGCATATAATGTCCTCATTTTCTTTACTTTTATAATAACCCTACCAACAATTCTACTCACTGTTTCCTGTTCCCAAATACAAAGTTAACAATAAAATGTTATCTTAAATCAAGAATAAAATCAACACTTGATGTTTTATGTTTTATCAAAAGCCCAATCCGTACACTGGTGAGACATCTGCTGGCATCTAAAGTAGAATGTTGTGCCTCAGTGCACCTTTGATAAAGAGAGAGATTTCCGAGGAAGTGGTGAAGATGGGAATTCAGAAACACCCACACACACCAAACGTTGCAAATACATGCAGACCTGTTTTTCCTTCTCGGGATGCTGCTTGATATTTGATCAACCATAACCAAGAGTTTGCACACTGTTCTTTTCTCCCAAATAACAGTTTTTATTATTGTTGTTTTTACTTGTTTTTCTCCTTCAATTCAATGCTGATCTCCAACATCAGCTTGACTAATAATAATCATACTGAGAAGCAACTGCGATTGTACCATTAAAAAAAATGTAGTCAATGTAATTGATTGATAAAGAAACAGGTCAATCTCAATTGCGAGATGTCTTTCTATTAACTGCTATACACTACTTTCTATTAACTACTATACACCTTGTCAATGTGCAGATTAGGCAAAATGCTTTTTTGAACATGCCTGGCAACACGCAATAACAAGTGCCACAAAACCAGCCATTCCATTTGATCCCATGTCATAAAATATGGACAATAAAAATAAATGAGTGATCTAAACTCCCCCCCCCCCCCATCTGTTTCTCTCTCAGCTCCAGCACCTGTAGCTGATCCAGAGGTTGAGGCTCCAAAGGCTGAGGAACCAACAGATAAAGAAGAGGAAGCTTCCCCAAGCGTTACTGAAGCACCCACTCAGGAGGAGGTCAGTAGCACCGTTACAAAGTCTTATTTAAACCTAACATCTACATTCTGATTATGTATAATTGCCGACAGCCAGTGTATAACATTTTTCAGAAGCTGCAATCATTTGAGAAGTTCCTGGCGCATCCTTTGTGTTTATATTTGATACATTGTAATAGAGTGGACCTGGGGCAGCAGCAGAGACTGAGGAGAAGCCAACAGACCCTGCTGCTGAAGCAACAAAACCAGCCGCAGAGGAACCAAAAGTGGAGGACCCAGGTGAGAATATACTGTGGATTGTCTTGTGTGTACAACCTCATATGGAAACAATGTAATATGATCCCCATGCAACTAATATATAGTAAATCAAGAAAGCAAAAATGTCCATGCCTGTCTCTAATGACTCTGGTACAGAATGCAGCCTTGAGACTGTAGGTAAGAACTTAGAGATAGCTATTTGCTCCAAGTCACTTGGGACAGAGTAGGTATCTATTAAAGACACAATATGGACACTTGAATTCATCAGATGAGCTCACCACTTTAGCATGTGTGTCCTTTACATGGGGAACTGTACCAACTTGTTTATAGAACTTCATGTTCTGGTACAATCTGTCTAGTTGTAGCATGTTACATACTGTACCATGAGGCATGATCTCCTGTATCAGCGTAATGCCTTAATGTATATAATAAGCAGTGTAATATGGAGAAAGTAGATATTCATATATACCCTCTTTGTAAACACTATTCAGCAAGCTTTGATGCTTTTATTTAAGATCAAAAACAGATGAGTGTTACACATTTGTTCCTGCGAAAGGTAAACATATATTTTGTTACTTCTCTCCTCTTTAATTTCTGCATTTTCCAAAGAACCTTATATACACCTCCTATATAATACTTATATAAACCTCAAGCTTTCTGGAGCTAAGTCTAACACAGCTAAACAAATAACTCAGGCACATCACAAGTCATTGCTAAGTATGACTCAGCAGCTCTTTCATCAAACAAGAGCATTTCACAACATAATTAAAACCAGTTATTTTCAGTTACTGCAATCAATGGAATCCCCAGAACTAAATTCTTAAATTACACTTGCGGCAGCCGGTAGTGTTGAAATCCCCATTAAAGCATTACATGTCATTATAATATGAAAGCTAGAAAATCACAAAAAATGATTAGCAGTTGTGTTTAAAGCGAGAATGTTTTCATCTCAGCCCAGTATTTCATCTTAACTGACTAAACATGTTTTATTATTTCCCATAACTCTGAACCTACTTTAATGTGTCCAAACGTATAAGATTCCCACTGTGTCATGACTGAACCCTCGAAATACCCATGAAACAGTTTTCTGCCATCAGTCCTTTAAACATACACATGACCTGCTTTCATGAGATGCTGTATCGTGTATCATGTTGCTGCAACGCCCCATTTTCTGAACATAGTAATGTAAAACAGATGTATTTTTTTAAAAAAGGTTATGAGGTGGGATTTTGGCCCCCACAATTTTAACTCCAGATTTAATTAGGGGTGGAAGTGTCTGGAAGTGTCGCACCTACAATGGTATTCTCTCTGCGCTCATTTCAGCATTTCCTGTCCAAAGTATGCTTGTTGTTTGTCCTTACCTGCTTTATAGCAGGACATACTCCTCTTTGTCACTCAAGAATAGTCATTTTATGTTTGGCTGGTCATTATCTCCCCTCTGAGTCATGCTAACAACTAAGGAAGGGGGTGCAGGAAGGGGCTGCTGTGGAAGGTTTCTTCCATATGATAACTGGCACCGAACGTTATTGCACGGTGGTGACAGGAGGTAAAGAGTAGATAGATGGAAAGAAGGATTAAGAAAGGAGAGAAATTAGAAAAGAACAGGGGGAGGGGTTGTTGTGTAAGGTAAAAGGTAAAGTAAGAAAAGAGATGCAGGGGTATGCAAGGGCAAAGAGAGGGGAGAAGGTTGTGAGGTTAATAAACGCAGGAGAATGAGAGTATCAGAGTAAAGCTTGGCTCAAAAAATGGTTTCATTACTTATCAGTGACACAAGGTGCTTAACTATCAGAGGGCACTTTTACTCATTATGTTTTCATATCAAGAATTATTTAAGGTGAAAGAAGGTCACTGGAAAATGATTCCCCTTAGGTTCTATCTGAAACAATGAACTGATCCCTGCCCAGCCTAAAACGGTTTTCTAGTCCCACATGTTTAATACGTCACTTGGGGTTTGCCCCAGAAATATAGAGTCCGGTTAAGGTATTGTTCCTGACAGATAATATCCTTAACATCTAAGTCAACACTTGTTCACAGGATAACAGTCACACCCTGAGAGCAGGTAGAGTTTCACAGTTCCTATCCAGGACAGCTCTGCAGGGTATTAACTATAGGAGCCATGAGGGACTGAAGTGGGGAGGGTTCCCATTATAGCTGATGTTTTTATTAAGAAAGATTAACATGCAACAGTGAAGTATCGTGTGTTAAAGAGATGACATGCTTTTGGTGAACATCTGGAAGATGTCTCTCTGGGTGCGGTGGTGAAAAGTGAATTTCCCTACAGGGATTGAAATTGCATTTTTGTCACCAATGATGCCTTAATGTCTTTTCAGAGAGTTTTGACCTGGAAGATGCTCTGACAGGAAATGCTGCAAAGGAAAACTCAGGAAAAAGCCGCAGTATGGGATCTGGAAGTGAGTTATCTCCATCTCCACTCTGGTCAAAACCTTTACTGACATAAAGGGTTTTATACTTTGAGCTGGTAACCCTAAACTTCTGGTTTACAAATACATGTGAACAGGAAGTGGATAGGACATTTTATAATGTACTGTATGTGATTTATTTGTTTATGCTGAAAAAAAGCAGCTTAACAAAATGACTTCGTAAGACCAGTCATTGCTCTCTGGGGAGTTATTGTCTTGTTTTCCTTTTGTTAAATACAGCAGTGTATTAAATCCATATATCCTGAGACATTGAGCTAACGTTTTTTTATTGATACAGCACGTTTCAAAACAGATTTAGAAAATGCTTTACATTGAGGAAACAGGTTGTAAAACATTTTAGGATTGCAATGAAGTCAATACATTTTTTTAAACAATTACATTTTAAGTGAAAACTAAATACCCTGAAATAAAATCAAAATCATAAGGCAAGAATATTATTAAGGTAAGACAGGTTGCGAGTAAAATGATATGCTAAGAGTAATTAAACGTTTTTTTTGTATGAATGAAAAGATGCCATAAAAAATGATATAAAATGGTGAAGTTGCCACCGCTGCACCGCCTGCAGCCTGCAGCCATCACATCTACAAAGTCACACCTCCACAGAGTGTTTCGTAGGACAAGGCCACTTGTGCCTCATAAACTGTGCTTTTAAACATATTCCCTTGGATCTTCAAAAAGGCTGTTCTCATTTTAGGATCTCTGTTTCCCACGACAAGAGAATGGATTTAATTGTTTTACTCTCACCGAGAAAAACAGCAACTGATTTTTCCTCCTTTTTCCCCCATCTAAAAGCTGATTCATCTATGTCAGTATAATCATTATAATTAAGTTAAAGGGCGCTTTCCTTTAGTGCTCTGTTATTAGCGGATTTGTCAAGTTGAAGCAGGTAGAGGGCAGCAATGACATCACAGGCTTATACAGGCAGGCAGGCAGGCAACGAAGAAGGAGATAATGGAGTTTGTTTTGCATTATGTCACAGATCAAAGTTCAGCGCGGGCCACAAAGAGTGTTTGTTTGTCTCCCTCTGATATCATAAAGGAAACTCTATGAGTATTTGTCTTCCTCTGATATCATAAAGGAAACTCTATGAGTGTTTGTCTTCCTCTGATATCATAAAGGAAACTCTATGAGTGTTTGTCTTCCTCTGATATCATAAAGTAAACTCTATGAGTGTTTTGTCTTCCTCTGATATCATAAAGGAAGCTATTAGTGTACAGAAAGGACATTTCATATGTACGTTTAGAGACCGGTTAGGACAAAAACCCTAGGCCTTTTAATGACTCTGAGGAATAAACCACCTCAAAGAAAATACTCTTGATCCTCCCTTTTTCTTCTCCGCTTTCTGTGCTTAACCTGCATCATCAACACATTCAGACATGAAATGATTTTGCCTTTTTCCCCTATCCTTCTCTAAACACGTGTCTTTCTTTCTCTTGTAGCACATGAGGCAGGCGCCTTAGGAGACGGTAAGACCTTTTTGTGTTCATGATCAAAAAATATCAGTCCAGTAGTTCTGAAACTGGTGAAGCACACAGGATATTGCTGGCATGCCACTGACAGTACAAACAGGATACTAGTCTCAGCGGGAAATGCCTCTCCACTATTGTTATAGTTCGAACACTGTTTGAAACCGTTCCTCTGAAAAAGCATTGTGAAGTGTAGTCACGCTACACACATCTGTCCAAGTGTTACTTCTGAAGCTCGGAAGTAGTGCGGTTCCCTTTTATCAGACAGTAGGAAAACTGGTGCCTGTTTGTGCATGTTTAAATAAACAGTACCTAGGTTCACAGTCAATGTGTAACTCCTATAAGGTTTTACCAGTATGAACATGGTGTTTCATGTTACTAACGGTATGTATGTTTTCTGTTCTACAGCGGGAAAACCTGAAGCCCAAGGTGAGCTATCCCTCTTTTCTTTTTTTGTTTTGAATACAGTTACCCAGCCACCCATGCACTGCCCTAAACATACCCTAAACAAGCAGTCCCCTGTTTTCATAACCTTAGGGCCCTAAGCAGGTGTGTTGTTGCTGCAGATGCTGAAGGACATTTTCCAAACTTTTCTTTAAACTTGAATAACTGCCTTTTTATATTTAATCAATGACAAGCAGGCTATTAGAGTGATTGGACCTTCAATTGGCAGAAAGTCTCCAGTGATAAAATGTCTGTCAGCGCTGTCTGTCAGTTTATCTACTGTATGTGTGTATGTACTTCCTTGTAGTGACTCACTATCTTCTCCCAATTTATTCCACTTCATTTCCTCCTGATTCATGTATCTCGAGTCACGCAGGTTCTCTGACTCATGCCACTCCCTATTTGTCTCCTTTGTTCATCATAACTTGGATGCACTCCTTTAGTTGTCATGCGTACCTGTTTAAGTTGCTGACTCATTACAACATAATGTATCCCTTTGTTCTCTTCCACTCCAGCCTATCCTGATTTTTGAATTACCTTATCTATTCTTTCTGATTTGATTTGTATATATTTAGGTCGAAATTGTAAATAATATATCTACATATATAATTCATGCAACAAAGTCTCTAATCTTGAATTCTATCTTCATCATTTACAGCCAATTCAGAAGATTTTAGATGCTTAATAAAGTCATAAAATATAACTATAATTCTGATGGCTTTCTTCTGGCAATGTATTAAACCCTGATTAATGCAACATAACATGTATTGTAACATAGTGTAGATCACTGGTGTTTGGTGAGTTAAATCATTAGTTATTTAAAATACCTACTATAAACTGTATAAAGTATATACTATAAAATAGTAAGCATATGATTAAAAAATGATTGTTATGCTATTTACACTAGAGCATCGTATGTCACATCATATAAGTGCACTATCATTTGCCATTATTTGTACTTATTTTGGAGTTGAATGAATGGCTTTTACTCAGTGGTGCATTTGTCCGTGTGCCTTTCACAGACTATGAGAGGTATTTGCGATGACACAGCACGAAAACTATTCAGATCTGTGTTGGCATGGTAACTGGGTTACAGGTGCAGAGTGCAGACAGATTTATTCTGTAACTGAATGCTTTCAAGAGTCTTAATTATTGGGTAGGCAAGAGAAATGGAATCAGAAAATGCTGTGAAAAGATGATGCATCGCTCAAGTCTCGTGTCATTGAGCCTCACTGCTGCGTGCCATTTCTCAACTGCAAAGTGGCAGCCAGGTTTAAGGCTGAATATAACAATCTCTTGCGCTGCTACACTGGCAAATATTCAACACAGGAGTCACATTTGTATCATAAACACTAGTATGTTTAGTATGCACTGTCATCATTATCTTTGTTTGTTTGTCTCCTACAGAGGCCAGCTCCGGCTCTGTAGCAGGCATCCTGAGTGCAATCGGTGTGGCCATAGTGGGAGCTGCTACTGGATATTACACATACCAAAAGAAGAAACTGTGCTTCAAAAACAGACAAGGTAATCATCACACTGACTAACAAATAATATGATGCCAAACTGCTGTAAACAAGGCCTGATATGTTTGGAATTACAGCTCTTATACAAAAATGTCTTTAGACTCAAGCTACCAGCATATCCAGTCACACGTTTGTTTTAGTTTTTTCAACTTCAGGACAGGTGGGGCATGTTAGTGTGTGACTTTGGGTCTGAATATCACAAGTTCTGGAGGTCAGCAGTCTTTCTCTGAGACATAGCAGACTCAGCTTGATCCCTTTGTGTCGTCAATTGCTGTCCACTCTCACACATCCTGCATACCAATACTACCAATTCAGCAGAGTTTTAATTTACAGTCAACATCAGCAGTAGGCCATTCAGCTCAAGTGATGTAGGGCAAAAGTCAGATTCAGAAAAAGGATTTTACTCTGACTATCGTATTTATCAGATGTTCAAATAAAGTAAATTATATATTCTCCTTTTCATATATTTGGTATTTATGAATATGAAGGATGCTCCCTCACTAAAGGGAATTAGTCAATTAGAGCCTAGAAATATTTACAACCCCCTGGGTGCTTTCACTGTCACACTGTAGTTGTGTTTAACTTACTAAATGCTTGAGAAATCCAAACTGACGTGATGACTTTATTCCTTCACTTTTTTCTTACTGCGTTTTTGCTTCGGTCTGACTTTGTCAATCTGTGAATAGAAGCTGACCCTGAAGCTGCCCGCAAAGCTGATACTGAAGGGGCTCAGGCAGATCCCCAAGGTAAGACACACACACACACACACACACACACACACACACACACACACACACACACACACACACACACACACACACACACACACACACACACACACACACACACACACACACACACGCACACACACATTCAATACACAAGTAAATACAACGATGAAACACATATAATCATCTGCCATTTGACATTTTCTCTTTCTTTTTGCAGTCCTTAGCAACCTGCTAAACTCCTCCTAAAGCAGCAATGGTCATGACAGCTTGGATCAACAACCGGCAAGAAAGTGGCAATCTCACTGTTATGCTCTATCTGTAGAGCTAAATTACTGTGAGGCCCGAGTAGAGGTGTGTGTGTGTGTGTGTGTGTGTGTGTGTGTGTGTGTGTGTGTGTGTGTGTGTGTGTGTGTGTGTGTTGTGTGTGTGTGTGTGTGTGTGTGTGTGTGTGTGTGTGTGTGTGTGTGTGGTGTGTGTGGTGTGTGTGTGTGTGTGTGTGTGTGTGTGTGTGTGTGTGTGTGTGTGTGTGTGTGTGTGTGTGTGTGTGTGTGTGTGTGTGTGGTGTGTGTGTGTGTGTGTGTGTGTGTGTGTGTGTGTGTGTGTGTGTGTGTGTGTGTGTGTGTGTGTGTGTGTGTGTGTGTGTGTGTGTGTGTAGTCTTGTGTGTGCATATATGTGGGGAGTAAATATAAGCGAATCAATGGGGGTTTTAGGATTGTTACTACAAAGGAAATTAATGAAACAATTAGACCATCTTTCCACTTTAAACTAAATCATGAAAGTGGACATAAAAGAGATGTAATCTCAAATCAACCATGAAATGGCAAAAGTATAGAACTACCTTTTTCTATGGATACTATCTAGTTCTAGTAATTCAATGTGAATATAAACCAGTGAAAGTTATTGATGTTGTAGAGGTCTAACCTTTTACTGAAATCGTATAAGTGGATTTTATTTAGCTTATTCTGTCATTGTTTGAGACACCAATATGCTTTTAAAAATCCATTGGCAACAGTCACTTAATTAAATCATTGTTGTATTGTCTGCGTTAGAAATGCAGGATAGATGAATAACAGGGGGCTTCAATAAGTACCACAGTATTTCCTGCCCCTGGCAAGGAAAATAGTGTATGATTATAATCCTAGGATGTATGGTCCAATGTGTGTTCAGGGGGCCACTGATATCACTGTGTGTGTGTGTGTGTGTGTGTGTGTTCTTGTTTTGTCTGTCTGTCTTTGTTTAGTTGGTGATGGGGCTTAGTTTTAAATCCTGTTGGGGGACTACCACTTCTCTTCAGTCAGTTCAATACATCAGAGTGAAAGAGTGAAATTATAAATCAAACACAAAAAAATCCAAATGATACAAACTAATTAATGTCAAATTGATTAAACAATCAATTTGTATTACAATGTTATAAGATATTGTACAATTATATATAGATCTATATTTTGAAATGTACTGAGCTGAAGTGAAGTCTAGTCCAACTCTATTTCTGTCAATGGATGAATATTTAGCTGACATGGACAAATTCAAAGATGTCATGTAGTAATGTATTAGAAATTGTTCTGATGTAGTCTGTGTCAGTCTAGTTGTGATGCAGTAATTTCTCCTCTATAGTGCCTTCACTGACACAGCCTGGCTTGACCAATCTACAGACACACAGGGAATAGAGCTGGGATAAAAACAAAGTGAAAACAGACAAAATAGTAGTTGAATGTATTGAAAAAAGACTAGACAATTGAGGAATGTATTATGTTATTTGAGTCGTAATCATTTTGGTGGTAGAAAAGCCTTACCTTAAACTGCTTGTGAATGTGAAACTGTTACGTTAGTGTGACAGCTGCTGTATATGTGGGTGGTTTGCTGTTTAATTTCCAGTACATTTTTAACTAATAATGCATTCCAAACTCTTAACAGCCTCACATTTCAGCAGTCAAATCCTCATTGTGTGTCTTTTTATTTGAGCAAGCCAGTTGCTGTCACAGTGCTTTTGTATAATTCATATTTCCACGTTAAGAACATCATTCACCTGTGATTTTTGTATATGAATTTTACATTTAGCAGCGGCCAACTTGTTGCTGTGGTATTTTGTGAATATCATTGTAAAATGCCCCAGAAACAGCGCTACTGCATTTAAAAAAAAAACAAAAAAAAACAGTTATTTTGCGGCTGTAGCAGAAACAAAGTTATCTTCTGAATGTCTTTTTGTTGCCTTGCAGTTTTGTACTTGCTCTGCCCCCTTTAAACCTTAAAAAGGGTTACAGAGGTTGCATAGTGCTGGAGTTCATGTACAGAGTGTTACTTGTAAAGCACCATATAGCTGCAATACAGGACAGAGACTGTTGCTAACAGCCTAGCCTCAAGCCGAAATATAATAGTCTGTGATGTCACATATTGACTTATCCTACTGTGTAACTGTGGGCTGGATGCCGGGCCAAAGTTTGAAATGCCTTCTGATCTTGTTATCTGTGACGAAGTTTCTCTTGACACATTGGAGCCAAGTGAAGAGTGTGTCTGAAATCTCTTACTGCATCTGCTATAAGGATAATGCACAAAATACACACTAAATAACAGTACAAGCTTTCAGATAATAGCCACTGATGCCTTCAAAATAAAACATCCTCCTTTTATAATGCAGTACTCGCCGTCTTTGTGCACTTCATTAAGTGCCACAGGAATCAACAAAAGCACTCTGCTGGCCTGCAGTGCACATTCAGAAACCTCACTGGGACTGATTTGATGGAAAGAAGACTAAAATACTTCTCTTAAAATTGCACAAGGAATGCGCGTGTTTTCAGCATCATGGTCCTCGCCACATTTAGTCCCAAGAAGTCACATTCCTTGTTAGCAAACTATTGGAGCATAGTTTCCAAACCAGAATGTAAAATCAACGAAGTTGTTGACTTATCGGGTCCTGAAGTGCACTTTGCAGATAATGCTAAGGCATCAATCATGGCGCTGACAAGTCCTGCCTTATACCGCCTCTTGACTATTTCAGAGGGAAATAAAGAACAAAATGTCACCATCGGAAAGTAAACAGTCAAACAAGCAGAGATGTTTTTGCAGGTGATTCAAATAACACAAACGATATAGGAGAAGCACTTTCCTATCCTGTATACATCTTGGTTTATTAAACATATTTAGACAATTCATTTTCGATATAGACTAGTGTCTTCTACTTTTATTTAAAATTTTCATTTAGTTTTGGAACAGTCTTTTTCATTGTTTGTCATCTGGCACTTGTTGTTCTTCTGGAATTGTGTAAATAATGTTTGAGGAGTCAATTAAACCGTTTTCGTGGGAGTTGGTGTTTTATTTCCCTGCCAAATATTTGTATCTTTTATGAGTGTGTATGACACAGTTTTACAGCTTTATGGGAATCTGATGTTAAAAACTGATATTTAAATAATGTCATTTTTACAGTTAAGATATAAATAATGCTTTAAAAATGTGTAGTTTGGATAAAAAAACATCTGAATTTAATATATGTGTCCCTGCATTGAACTCTATTTACCTTTATCTTTGTGACTAAGTTTATTTCCTGTGGGATGTTTGGAAGTTAGGTAAGCTCAGGGACAACAAAAAAGAGGCATCATGAGACATGACCTGAAATGCTTGATATGTCAGCTATTTATAGGAGGTAAGAAGTACACAGTTTCGAGCTTGGTGAATGATTGATGGTGACAGGTTCATTGAGATGCACACCCGATGCCCTCAGAAGAAAAATGTGAGTGTCTCAGAGATTTTCCTTGCCAACGGTTTTCACACATAATACCTGCAGCTGTTACATATTAATTTCATTCTATAACAACCACACGATCAGTAAACAATTCAATTAAATCCTGCACGGCATGATGCTTTGATTACTTGATATACTCAGTAATTGGGTTGATTTCATTCCAAGTAAATTAGATCTAATTATATTTCATGGTTTGATCAATAAATCTCTCTGGTGTTGGTGTCTGTGGGTTGACATACCGGAGGTGAAGGCTGCATTCGGATCCTTCACGAAACCTAAATCCAGTGTATTGTAATTTGTTAAAAGTAAACGTGATATCTTTACTGTAGGGTAATTTTAACCAGTTGTCCCTCACTGTGGGATCAGGAAGTCCCACAAAGGCCCACAGAGATTGTTCAGGGGTTTTGAGAAGTTAGTGGAGTGTTTTCACTCTCAAAAGAGCAGAAGAAGTTAAGTTTCACAAAGTGGAATCCTGAGTAAGATACAAATCATAAAAAAGTACTTGAGTAAACCAACTGTGTTACCTTTCCATTTCACAATTCCATACAGGCTATGTATGTAAACATATAATACAATAGCAGGATGGTTTATAAGTTCATGATTAGATAACCTAAAGCAGTTTATATTAATTAGAATTCATATTAATCAGAATCAAAATCATAATACCTTTATTCGTCCCACAGAGGGGACATTTGCATTTGTTACAGCAATAAAAGAGACAAAGACAGCTTAATAAGATACAATAAAAAAAAATACAAATAAATAAGTAGCTTAAGAGGTTTGTGTTAGTAGTTCACAAGGACAACGGAAAATAAAGAGAAAGCTTCTTTCTTATTTGTAGTTATTTGATCAAAGTTGGGAACCATTATTCTAAAATATAGCTTTTACGTGCGCTTTTACGGCACACATTACGGCAAATTGTGTTGTGCGCTCATAAACCAGTCAATACTGTAGAGTCAGGATTTGCCAAGGGACTGCGCGCGCTTCCTGTGGCTTCAGCGGAGGAGGAAATGTGTCACATTCGTGTAGTTCTATGAATAACTGTACTGTGCAGAGATGTGGTAAGTCTACATGGCAGGTTTGCCGTTCCCTTTTTAAAACAACACGCAATGCATTGTGACTGAATGACCGTAAAACAGCTTGATTCGGTAGCCCACTAAATGATGCGTCAATCTAAAATTGAAGGCTTAGCTTTGAAGGCATTATAAACTTACACACTGCTGTCAGCAATCACAATATAGGACTGAGTTTCTGGGAGAAATGCTCCTGGAAGGTATGCAAACAGGTTATGTGAAAGTTCGACTTAACCCTGTGTTTTGTCTGTAGGGAGGAACTGTAAAACTAGAGGAAATAAGCGAAAACACTATTGCTATCGCAGTAAGGTTTGTTTTAGGTGGAAACCACGATGGGGAACATCAATAAATTACTCTTTGAATGACACAAAGCAACACCAATGTAGGAATAATACCTCATGTAGGCCTATATGTAATTGAAAAACTTTCCCATGAAAGAAAAAGGTGGACTACTTTTTAAAAAGCAGGTGTGTCCTACTTTCCCAGTTCTGTTATAATATCTGCTGTGGATTGTGAGTCAGTTGGTCACATGTCATGTTTATTGAAAAAACATAATTATCTTTATTAAATAAATCCATGATGCATCGGTAATCAAAAAACACACAAGACACATTTATCCTAATTTTATTTAGCATACATCTCACTAATATG